GGGGGGAGGAGTGAGTGATGGTTGGCGGGGAAGGGGGGGAGGGGGACGTACTACCGATCACCGAATTTTCCACAAACGACAGAAATAGGGAACATGAACTGCTTGCTAGTCAGTACGGCGACCACTGCACGGTGCACAGTGCACAGGGACGTACCCCACAAGCGATAGACCCCAACAACCCAAGAATAGCGGGCTCAGCATCGGGAAACATCTGGTTCTGATAAAATTCCTGAAATACGCCCCAGACGAGCCTTGTCGCACCCGTTCAGTTCAGTTCGTGCATCTCTCGGCTGGGGGGGCTTACTGGAAACCGAATGTTACTGTCCGGGTGGGTCGTTAGCTTGAGTAGGAGTGGAAGGGAGGGAATGGGGTGAGGAGGGGGGACGGACCAGCAGCGATCATCGAACACCCAGCGACGACCCACCAGCCTCTTCCCCCCTCAGGGAAATCGGCGTCCGCATCCCTCACTGCCTGTTCCGGGCTCTCCTCCTCCTTCTCCTTGGGATCTTCCTCATCAGGTAAGCCCTTCTCGAGCTGGGAGTCTTTTTCGAGAGCGTGCGGGAGGGAGGGGGTGCGCCTCTCCCTGCCGCTGGAGCTGGGCGTTGGGGATGGGGGGGAGATGGAGGATCCGGAGTTGAGGGTAGCGTCGTCATCCCCTTCTTGGGGTATCCTAAGTTGAGGCAACATGTGCACTAGTCACTAGTCACTCGTCCAGCAATAGCCGCAAAAATCCAGAAATGAGAAAGGCAGACTTGGGACCCGCGTAAGCTGAAGAGGTTGGTGTTATATGCCCATGCCCTAGACCTGCTGCTCTGGCTGGATGTGGATGTGGGCCGATAGCCGAGTGATGGGTGTTACAAAGCACCACCACCCGGAGGGGTAGAGAGAAGCATTGGACGAGTAATGCGGGCGGATGCCGATAGAGTGGAGGTAGGAAAGGGAAGCAGGATGCCGAAAAGTGAGGGGATGTGCCAAGCGACGAGGGGGTGTGGGGCACCAGAGCAGGAAAGGCATTGATTACGGGAATAATGTGCGGACCGGTGAGCGGGAGTGCGCAGGTACTGGGTCGGCCGAAGTGGAATCGGGCCGGGGGGGGGGGGTTCATTGTAGCAGAGTGAACAATGGGCATCGTAGGGGATATGCCGAGAGTGACCGAATGAGAGTGATCATCCTATTAGAGACTGATCTTGTCTCACTCTAACCACCATCACGACGATGGATTCACACTACCCAGGTACGCTCTCTCTCTCTCTTAATAACACCCTCTCATTTATACAGCACATAAACACGCAATAAACGTACTCAATAATCTCATCCCTCTACTCTCAAAACAACACAGGTGCAAGGTAAGTCCTTCCCTCCTCCCCACACCCCCAACGCTCACCCCTCCCCCCCACAGCCCCAACTCCTCCTCCTGCGGTCAAAACCTGTCACATACAGAGACGACACAGACCGCGAACTACCCTATAGGCAGGAATCAAATTTCTACTATCTATCAGGCTGTCTAGTGCCTGATTCAACGTTGGTCGTATCCTACACTCCTCCCAACGCAACCCCGAACGCAAATGCAAATGCAGAGGGAGAGGAAGAGGTGGACGTGGGGGTGCACCCAGATAGCGTACAGACAACCCTCTTCATCCCACCCGAGGACCCAATCGAAGTACTCTGGTCCCCCGCACCTCCCTCTCTAGCCGAAACAGTCCTCTCCCATCAAGTGACGTCCGTCCTCCCCACTCCTTCCCTCCCTGCCCAGCTCTTCACGCTGCTTCAGTCCAGTCCTGTCCTGCACCTCTTGCCCGAGAGCTCTTTCCCGCTTTTGCCAGGCTCGATCAGTGGACTGGTGAAGGAGTATAAGGGTGAGGGGACAAGGAGGGACTGCTTACTCCCGGCGCTGCATCTTGCGAGGCTTATAAAGGATGAGCACGAGATCGAGCTCATAAGACGGGCTAATGCGATCTCTAGCCGAGCGCATGAACTCGTTATGCGTCTCTTGGGGGAGCATGCGCACCGGGCACGCACGCGCACGCGCACGCGGGAAGGGGAGGGGGAGGAGGGGGAAGGGGGGAAAGTGGAGATGCCGGGAGAATGGAGGATCGAGAGTGAGCAAGAGGCTGAAGCTGTGTTTGTAGCTGCTTGTCGGAGGGAGGGGTGAGTGTTCTTCTTCCTTGCCTTGCCTTGCATTCCCCCTTCCCTCCCTGCTCTTCCCTTCCCTCCCTCCCCTGCCTGCCTGCCTGCCACCATCTTGCGCAAAACATGCTCATCCACGATACTATGCTAACGCTAACGCAAACGCCCACGCTTCCACAGAGCAAAACATCAAGCTTACCTACCGATCGTCGCCTCCTCCACCAGAGCCTCAACCCTCCACTACTGCTGTAACGACAAGTCCTTTGCCTGGGGTCCGCTTCCCTCTCCCTCCCACCCTCACTCTCACTCTCACTCGGCGCTAGGGGGACTGGGAAGTCTCCTACATGGGGACGGGAACGGGAACGGGAAGGAGGAAGGACTCCAAGCCCAGGTGTTGCTCATCGATGCTGGCTGTGAATGGGACTGTTACGCAAGTGACATAACGCGTGTTACGCCCGTGCGCCCCCTTCCCATCCCCACACTTCCCAAAGCCCGCTAACCGCTAACCCCCACGCACAGATCGGGAACAACGGCCATTTCTCCCCTCAAGCAAGGGACATCTACCTCACAGTCCTTCACATGCAAACCACTGCTATCTCCCTCCTCCGTCCAGGCTTGCACTGGGACGTGGTCCAGCTCTCCATGCACCGGATCCTAGTCCAGTCGTTCCTCAAGCTAGGGATATTTAGGGGGGAGGAAGATGAGGTGCTGAAGTCTGGAGTGAGCGCCGCTTTCTTTCCGCATGGGGTGGGCCATTCTTTGGGGTTGGACGTGCATGATGTCCCTTCTGCGAGTAAGCCTGAGAGGCCGGAGGGGGACAGGCCCGGGGAGAAGGGGGAAGGGGAGAAAGGGGGGGAGGGGGGGGAGAACCCAGAGTTTTATACTTGGTTAAGGTTGAGACTGCCTTTGAGAAAGGGGATGG